GGTGATGATACTCAAAGTAGAAAGAGAAAGGTAACCACGGGGCGCTTTGGGGGAAAATACCCCGAGGCGGCTCGAGCCCCCAGGTGAGGGCAGGCGGTCAGCGTCAAAGCGCTTCCGTCCACAAGCCGTCGAGTGTGGCGTTTCTTTTTTTTGGGGGGGAGGGGGTTTGTTTTGATTGTACCAGAGGGGGATCTCGGCTCAAGGCAGGCATAGAGGCAGAGGGCGTTGGTGGGCGGCTCTGTGTGAGAGTGTGTGGGAACCGTGATACACGAGAGCATTGCTCGCGCCTGTACCACCCAATCACGAGAACCACCCACCATTATAAGACAGATGGCGTTTACAGCCACACGGCGACCACGTCAGATGACGCTCCGCATGATGTGTGGGGCAGTGTGCGAGCAGTGGTCGCATCAAGTCGTAAGAGTTCCAAAAGCCGTGAGTTGCGCTGCTGCTGATTGTTGTGACCGAACACAGCAACCCATTCGTGCCCGGGCGTCGTGGGACGGCCGTCAATATGTGATACACAGAGACGAATTCGTCGACCGGTGATCCACTCACAATTGCAGAATCAAGGCCAATTCTGTCACCACAACAAATTCATTTGCTAAGGGCCATTAAATTTTCTTTTTTGATGATGGGAATGCTCATATGATTGCAGGCCACCCTCCACTTTGTGCTTTTGGGCATGCTGTTCGGGTTTGTTGCTTTGGCCTCGGTGCCTTTGCTCTGGAGTTGTTGTCCCTAGAGTGTTCGCTATGCTTGACATGACATTGTATCCTCATTCGCCGTGCGTCTATCACCGTGACCGACACGGCTCTGGCATTGTTCTACTCGTCTGATGTCGATACCCAAATGAGAATCCAAACCAGCCACCACTTCCCTAAACAACGGTCACGCGCAATGTTCCACGGCAGATGAAATGCGAAGCATCATAACAACATGTCAGCGTCGACAAGCAGACCATACCGGAGCGGCGGTGGCACGCAATCAAACAAACTGCCAGTATAACCATCGATCCGAGGGTGATAGAGGGTGACAAGGTCCTCTCACCCATCCGCCGAGACATCGCCGAAACTATCGACGCGCATCGCTTGGATCATTGTCAGACAGATCAGCTCATTGTCAGAATGTCAGATAACAATGTCATCATTTTGATGTCACGTCGTGTGGCATTCACAAGTTGGCGGCGAGAACGACGACGGGGAGGGGCAGGGCAGGCGTCGGTGCAAGGCGAGGGGAAGAGTCGTCTTGCATTGAGCTGGACATGGACCAGGTGGTGCGGGGCAGCGAGGCCGGCAAAGGTGATGATGGGAATGCTGTCACGCAGCCAATGCCGACACCGGCACCCTACACGAGCGTGGACGAAGTGATGCTGCCTGCTCGCTTGCAGGGCCGGAATAATGTTTACTCGGGCTGCAGTTGCACGGGGCCTTGTGCGCCGGAGACCTGTTCGTGCCTTTGTAATGGACGAGCGCGCTACTACGAGTGCAACGACAATTGTGCCTGTGACGTAGCTACATGCCGTGCTGGCCGTACCACACAACAACCGACGGCGCTGGATATTCGTCTCGTGTGGACTTCAGAGCGGGGACATGGGCTCCTAACCGGCACTCGCATCCCCGTCGGTACCTATGTGGGGCATTATACCGGCCAGCTTGTGAATGTTGCCACCGCCCGAGCCCGAGATTCTGCTGCAGACGCAGTCAGTCCCGTGCACACCTACCTTCTCGTTCTGCGCGAGCACACGCAACGCGGCGTTCTCACCACGGCGGTCGATGCCAAAGAGTACGGCAATCTCACACGCTTCATCAATCACAGCTGTGCGCCAAACCTTGAGCTGCGGCCCGTTCGGCTTGGCTTTGTACCACGCCTGGCCTTTTTCGCCCTCACCGACATTCCTGCGGAGACGGAGCTCACCTTTGACTACGGCGGCGCGCCACCAAGCGCCAAAATTGCCACCACATTACCTGCAGATACCGACACGGGCGCCCCACGTCACAAACGCCACGTTACGGCCCCCGAGTTGGCCTTGAGCGCCAAGCCCTGCCGCTGTGGTGCTCCAACTTGCAGAGGCTTTCTACCACTCACCATCTGGTAACACCGCCTCCACCCCCCTCTTTTGTTGATGAATGGCACGCGTCAATATTCTAACGCTCCTTCAAGTCGACTCTTTTCCTTTCTCATCCCCGAGAGCCACTTTCACGCCTCTGACCCAGCGCCCAGCCGCATGCATGCCGCGCATCTTTCGAAGAGCACCACAGTCAATGGGGTTGCTGTTATTCCTATTACATGTATTATTATACTTATCATTATCCGGCTTGAGGCCATCTCTGCCTTATAAATATAAAGTATTTTACTTCTAAATCAGAGCTACAACAACGTCATCAACTTTTTTGGTTTTCAAATTTATTTTATTTTATTTTTCTGTTCGAGATGACCTCGTTGAGCGACGCCCTGCCCGCCGGCGGCGGCGGTGGAGGCGGCGGCGGTGGTGGCAGCAGTGGAGGATGGGGGTTGACACCACAATCTATGCAAAGTATGAGATTGTGCTGGGGGTGTGGTTGGCTCTTGCATGCGTTGAGGCTTGATCTATGACGAATGACGGGCCGCGGGGGCCGGGCGGGGAGGAAGCCTACGATTTGGCTGGCCAAATTTTCTGGAGAGGCGATGGCTTGCACTGAGAAGAAGGCCAGGGCTTGATAGAGAGAGGAGCTTGATGGCCAACTCACGATTGCAATGGCTGTTTAGATGAAGAAGAACGTCGGTTTCGACAAGAGATGCGCGTGCGCGACATATCCATCATTTCAACGAGCATGCGATCCCTTCCGAGCCCCCACGTCGTGCGTTTGTGGCCCGAGCCATACTGCGTGGCAGAGCGCCTTGATTGCAAAGNGCATATCTCACTCTTTCTGTTGCACTGGCACCTAATTCAAACCAGGTTTATGAAATTGCT